GCGGGCCTGGCTGGAGGAAGGGAGGACAGCTGGGAAGGGCCGAGGGTGTGGGCTGGGCCACGCGGGGAAGGAAGGAAGGAGCCCCGCTGTCCCGCGTGTCCCCCTCCCGCTGACCCTGGGCCGGCCCTTCCCCCGCCTGTCCCGGTTCCCACAAGCCCGGGCCTGGGGACCCCGGAGGCAGCCGTGAGCTGCGACCTACTTCCTGAGGATGCCAAGATCCAGGTCAGTTCACAGGCCTGCTCCTGCTCCCCACCCCGGCGCTGGCCGGGGCTGGGCCCAGCCTTGCCCCCCAGCACCCGACCCAGGCTGCCCACCGAGATCACCTTCAGCACTCGCAGTCCCCCAGGCCAGCACCACATCCTGACACGCACGGCGCCCCCCAGCGCTTGCCTTCCAGCATGTGAGGAGAATGGGGCTGAGAGTGCGTTTGTCCTGCGTCTGCGCACTGTTCGCCCCTTATCGTGAACGGCTGAGCCACCCATTCACACACCCATCCAGTCTGTCTAGAATGTGGGTGTGGATCCACACATGGGTGTCGACCACCTGCCGCCCATCCGCATCCATTCAGTCACCTGTCCGCCTATGCACGCACGCATCCATCCATCCGTCCCTCCTCTCCCTCTGTGGCTCTCAGGGCATATCCATGGCCGAGGTTTTCCTGAGGTCCCCATGTCAGTCATGGGCTGTGGGGGTCAGGCCTGGGGGTGTGTGGGCTGTGGGGGTCAGGCCTGGGGGTGTGTGGGCTGTGGGGGTCAGGCCTGGGGTGTGGCCTGCAGCAGCTCTGAGCTTTGGTGGGGAAGTTCCGGTTTGCCAGGCCGTCGGGGAGGTCTGTCTGGCTCTTTGTACCGGGCGTGGGAGGGGGACACAGCTTAGGAACTGGAGGTGATCTGGTGGGCAGGAGGATGTCCCCCTGCAGACAGGGCCTGGCTGCTCACTGGGACATGGTCCCCCTGCCCCCCCCCCGCAGACAGGGCTGCGTCTGCGTCCCCACCCCCTGCCTGCTCACTGCTCACTGGGACATGGTCCCCCCCTGCAGACAGGGCCTGGCTGCTCACTGGGACATGGTCCCCCCACAGACAGGGCTGCGTCCCCACCCCCTGCCTGCTCACTGAGCTCACTGGGACATGGTCCCCCCGCAGACAGGGCCTGGCTGCTCACTGAGCTCACTGGGCTGCGTCCCTGCCCCCAGCCCCCTGATGCCCTGTGCCGGCTGTGAACTGCCCGACAGCGGGGTGGAGGGAGCCAGGCAGGAGCTATATTAGGGTCAGGGTGGGTGGGACAGAGGCCGCTCCGGACCCAGCTGGGAGACACTGGGTCCTTAATGAAGGAGCACAAGCCAAGAGGAACGGAGAATGAGGCTCTGGGCCGTGAGGCCCCAAGCCACAGGCTGTATCCTAGAAAGGTCCGGGAGCGCTAGGCGAGCTGTCTGAGCTGCACTGAGGGCGGGGCTGGCTGTGGAGCTGTGGGAAGAGGCAGCGGTACCTGGGAATCACAGCTTGGAAACAAGTGTGTGTGTTGGTGAGTGGTCACCTCCTGCTCTGGTGGTTGTGTGTTTGTGTTGGTGAGTGGTCACCTCCTGCTCTGGTGGTGTGTGTGTGTTGGTGAGTGATCACCTCCTGCTCTGGTCCTCACAGCTCCTGGACAATCGTAGGGGTCGCTGCCCTCATCCTGCTTCTGGTGGCCGTGGTGGCCCGAGTCCTCGTCACGAGAAAGCCGCCCCGGGACCCCCTGTTCTATGGTAGGTCTGGCCCCCTGTCTTATGGAAGGTTGGGACCCCCCGTCCTATGGAAGCTCTGACCCCCCGTCCTATGGAAGGTTGGGACCCCCCGTCCTATGGAAGCTCTGACCCCCCGTCCTATGGAAGGTCTGACCCCCCCCCCCGTCCTATGGACAGTCTGACCCCCCGTCCTATGGACGGTCTGACCCCCTGTCCTATGGAAGGTCTGCTTGGAGGGGGCGGGTGTGCGTCCCTGTCATGACACCACCCTCAGCCTTCAGCCATGGCTCCCCGCAGGACTCCTCTGAGCCGGCTGGGTGCGGGAGCTGCGGGTGCGGGGCTGTTGGAGGCCGCGCCCTCCATCACACCCCTAGGTTCCCCCCCCTGCCCCCAGCAGGCTCTTTACCTGGGCCTCCTTCCCGGGCCTCCTGCCTTTAGCCAGCACTTGCAGCTCCCTTTGTGAGCATGGATGCATGGCCTGAAGCCTTGGTCTGTACACCTGAATAAGAGACTAGCATTTCTACTGTGGGCATTCAGCATTACACGTGTGTTCTTTCAAGACTTGTCAGTACTGGGCAAACAAATGCCACAGCACAGGGGAGCAGCTGCAGGGACCCTGAGCACGTCAGCAGTATTATTTGAACTCTCCTCACAAACGCCCTGCCACGTAGGAATGAAGAGGCTAGCTCCGAGATTTCCCAGGAGTGTGGTTAGAGCAACAAGCTCGTGAGAACAGCACTGACACTGCCTCGTCTGCCGGACCCCCCCTTCTTCCTGTCCTTCCTTCTTCCCTTTCTTCCTGCTGGGGTTTGAACTCAGGGCCTTGCGCTTGCTAGGCAGGTGCTCTACCACTTGAGTCCTGCCCCCAGACCTTTTTGGTTTGGTTATTTTTCAAGCGGAGTCTCACAGTTTTCACCAGGGCTAGCCTCAGCCTCTGTACTCCTGCCCATTCCGCCCTGCAGCTGGGGTGGCAGGCGTAGGGCACCATCCCCCTGGGCTCATCGACGGAGACAGTGTTTCACTAGCTTTTTTTTTTTTTGGTGGGGGGGGTCCGGTCGTGGGGCCTGAACTCTGGGCCTGGGCACTGTCCCTCAGCTCTTCAGCTCAAGGCTAGTGCTCTACCACTTCAGCCACAGCGCCACTTCCAGCTTTTTTTCTTTTTGCTTATGTGGTGCTGAGGAAGCGAACCCAGGGCCTCAGGCATGCAAGGCAAGTGCTCTACCACCGAGCCACCTTCCCAGCCCTTCACTAGCTTTTTGCCTGGTCTTAAACCTTGATCTTCCCAGGAAGCTGGGTGGTGGCCGTGCACCTCTGATCTCTGGAGTAGCTGGGGTCGTGCGGGGAGCCCCTCTGCCTGGCCCGTTCACGGTGTCTCCTGCAACCCACGTGTCTCCCTGGTGGTGATGCTGGTACCACTCATTCCCCAAATTCACGTGTCCTACCGCAGCACTGGCCCTGCCCCCGGGGCTGGGTCTCCGGCTCCGGCTCTGGGTTGGCTTTCGGGCAGCTCCATGTGTCTCATCAGCAGCTCCGGAGCACAGGCCTCCGTCTGGGCGGGCAGAGGTGCCGAGGGGAGCAGGAGGGTCTTGGCCTGGAGCTGGCACTCCACCTCCTCTCTGAGGGCAGAGAAAGTTCCACCACGAAGCCCAGCTGGGCACGCGGAACATCCTCTACCTGGTGAGCCTCAGGGGAGGAGGAACATGCAGAGGACCGTGACTCCCAGGCCATCCGCCAGGACCTTCAGGGCTGACGCTGTCGGGGCTGGCTGGAGGCTGCGCTGCGCGGGGCCTCCCGACTCCGGAGCCACATCCTTTCCCTGTCTCCCTTGGCGCTGCTCAGCTCCCGCTGCCCCCCCCCCCCCTCCCCCGCACCACACTCACCTCCCCTGCCTCCCCGTGTCCAGCTGGGCGCACACTGCAGCTGCAGGAGCGAGCCCCAGGCCAGGCCCTCACTCACCTGTGCGGTAACCGCGTGTCGGCGACTCCTGGAGGGTCAGGGGCGTCAGGCGCCTGTGCGCCGAGCGGTGTGGGGAGCGGCCGCATGGACTAGTCTGTGTCACAGTGCCTCGAGTCCGTCCCCTGGCTCGCCGTCCGTCCCCAGGGCGGCTGTGCTGAATCGCGGCATCCTTTGTTGCAGTGTACGCAGTCTTCGGATTCACCAGCGTGGTGAGCCTCATCACGGGCCTGGAGCAGGACGGCGTCATCGATGGCTTCATGACACACTACCTGAGAGAGGTAGGCCTCCCAGCCCCTGCCAGGGTGCTGGTCCTCCTCTGTCCCCACTTCAGAGGCAGGCTGGGGCCGGGCGCACATGGAGCTCTCCAGGGGCTGCTCCCTCCACCCTGTCCCTTTGCGTGAATACAGTAAGTATGTGTCTATTAAAAGCACATTAAGGGGCTGGGAAGGTGGCTCAGTGGTAGAGTGCTTGCCTTGCATGCCTGAGGCCCTGGGTTCGATTCCTCAGCACCATGTAAGCAAAAAGAAAAAAGCTGGAAGTGGCGCTGTGGCTCAAGTGGTAGAGCGCTAGCCTTGAGCTGAAGAGCTCAGGGACAGTGCCCAGGCCCAGAGTTCAAGTCCCATGACCAAAAAAAAAAAAAGCCTATTAAAATCTCAGAAGACCAAATCAGCCTTCAAGTTGAGAGGTAAAACCCAAGGTATGAAAGCTGCTGGGTTAGCCCAGCCCCTCCCAGAGGGAGGGTGTCGGTCTGTTTCCCCATTTCATAGGGACTGACCGGAGCTCAGGGAGGCTGACACGCACTCCAGGTCACACAGCAGATGGAGCAGTGGGAAGTCTAGTCCTCGTGTGAGGGGTCTGGATGCTACCTCGTGCGGGCAGAGGCTTCACACCGGGGCGGACGCGGTCAACCCAGGAGGATGGGCACGTGGGGAAGGGTCGATGTCTCCAGCCGGGACCCCAGGAACAAGGCAGCCTCTGCAGGGCCAGACAGCGACCGTGCTGGGAAGGGCCAGCCGCCGGGAGCCTGAGCATGAGGGTGACCACCACGGTGGTGGCAGGGAGGGCCAGGCCCAGGAGACCGTGGCTTTGGAGTGGAAGTGTTCGCTGGAGCCGAGAGGCAGAGGAGCTCAGCGCTGCCGAGTGGCTGACGAGACTGGGTCCGTGTGGCACCTGCCCTGCCCTTGGGAGACGAGGAGTGGGGGGGGAGGAGGGGTGGCAGGCATTCCCGAGGGAATGCAGAGGGGCTGAGGCTGGAGGGGGGACATGGGTGGCCCGGCGGCAGGTGTGCGCACTGACCCCCTGGTGTTTGGGTATGGTCAGGTGGGGGGGGGTGTTCTGGCTGACATCTCAACTGGCTGGCTTGCAGAAGTCTAGGTGGAGGTCCCCAAGGGGGGGGGGGGGGGAGGAGGGAGTGTGGTTGTCCGCCCCGACGGGAGCAGCTGCCCAGAGGGCTGGAAGGCAGCCTGGAGAGGCCGGCAGGAGCTGGGGTGGCTGGGAAGCCAGAGGCGTGCGGTGCGGTGCGGGGTGAGGCTGGGGACTGTGCGGGGCGGCAGGAGAGGTGGGTGGGAAGCAGCAGGCTCTCCTCGGAGCCTGGGCACCCTCACCCGTACAGAGTCGGTGCGTTGGTCTCCTCGTGCTGCCGGAAGGCAGAATGGAGGATGGCGAGGGGGGGCTCAGCGCGCCGCCCGTATGTGCACGGGAGAGGCCTCTGTGCTGGCCACGGCCAGCCCGGCTTCGTCCAGCGGGGTTTTCCCTGGGCACCCCTCCAGCTGCGGCCAGGCCCCTCCAGGCACAGATTTGGCCTGTGAGTGACCACACCGCCGTCTGCCTTTGCGTTGTTCAAATCTGAGTTGGTCCGTCAGGAGCCGCCGGCCGCGCCTTCCCCGCCGCGGCGTGGCTCGGCCGCCACCGTCCACACCAGTTGGTGGTTATTTCCCTTGTAACTGAAGTCCGGTGCTCTGCACGGAGTGCGTCCCACTCAAAGCGGCTTTCTTCCCCTGCTCTCCTCAGGGCGAGCCCTATCTGAACACGGCCCACGGGCACATCATCTGCTACTGGGACGGCTCGGCCCACTACCTGATGTACCTGGTGATGGTGGCAGCCATCGCCTGGGAGTAAGTCTGGGGGGTCTCTCCACCTCAGCCCCGCGAGTGAGTCCGTAGGGAAGCGTGCGCACAGCGGCGCAGACGGCCGTGCTTGGTGTCAGCACACGTCACGGCACACGGCCTTCTGGAACACGTCCTCTCGGTCTGGCCCCCGCTCTGCTGACGGCTGAGGCAGTGACCCCGTCGCTTTGAGGTCATGCTCTTTTCTAAGAACAGTCCCATTTTTAAGAATTCAAGCACACATTCTAATGGAAAGTTCTGGTCTCGGTGCAGGGTCAAGCTTCTCCCCCAGTTCAGCTGCGGCTCTGGGACCTGGGTCTGTGGGAAGGCTCAGGCCCCAGCTGTTTTCTATGCTGGCTGTCCGGTGGGGTGCACAAGCGGCCCCGGCCTTCCCGAGACCCCGATGTCTTGAATCTGTGCATCACAGCCGTCAGGGAAGCCGGCAGTGTTCTCTGGTAGAACTGATGGCTCCCCCAGACCCAGCTCCTTCTGGGGTCTCAGAAAGCCTCTCTGGGGGAGGGACTCTCAAGGTGGCTTGAACCAGCTACTGTCCCCGGCTTTCACTCAGACAAGTCACATTCAAAATGGAAATGCTTGGCTGGCGGCCCATTTCTCCCCAAGGAGAATAACCTGCAATAACCTGAGACACTGTGCTTTGTTCTCATGGGGTCAGCAGGCTGGGCCGGGCACTAAGTGCAGAATTCTCCACTTGTTCCTTCTGAACGCCTCCTAGCTTTCCATATATACTGAATCAGCCGCGGAAGGAACATCTTACTGGGCATGAGGGCTCAAAGTCTGGCAGCTGCTTTAGAATGTGGAGTTGGGTCAGGAATTCCCTTCCCCTTCAGGGCTCTGGCCGAAACTCCATGCTACTAAGGAAGGTCCATTTTACATCCCGCCACCCACACTTAGAATGACTTAAAATCTGGATCCGGCATCCTTTATGCTTCAGCCCCTCTTCCCCTTTCCGTGCTGAGTTTTGTACCTATGGGGAAATGCAAGGTCCAGTGAGGGCCACACTGTAGTTAAAGCCAGCAGAGCAGTGTGGCAGGCAGAGTTCTGTTCAAAAGGTTGCAAAGGAGGCTGTACACAGTCTATTGCACCCAGAAATGGTCCCTTGTGTTTATTGCTCTTGATTCAATAAGTTTCTATGCGTGCAGTTCACTAGTGAGGAAAAATAACGTTGAGTATCACCTTTTGCTACGAGTATTATTTTAAGACAAGTGCACGGAGCCAAGGTTTTCTGTTGCAGGGAGAGTTACAGGACCGTTGGCCTATACTGGGTTGGATCCATTGTAATGAGCACTGTGGTTTTTGTGCCTGGAAACATCGTAGGTAAGAAACTTTATCTTAACATTCACATTCACTTTTCTTTTCTGCAGTTCTTTTTTATCTTTTTTTTTTTTTTCGTCGGTCCTGGGGCTTGAACTCTGGGCCTGGGTGCTGTCCCTGAGCTCTTCAGCTCAAGGCAAGTGCTCTACCACTTGAGCCACAGTGCCACTTCCGATGTTCTAGTGGTTAATTGGAGATGAGAGTCTCACAGATTTTCCTGCCCAGGCTGGCTTTGAACCGCTGCGCTCAGCCTCCTGAGTAGCTAGGATTACAGGTGTGAGCCACCAGCCCCTGCCTGCAGTACTTTTTTAAGTAGAGAAATTATTTGGATGTAGGAAAACCAAGTAATTCAAAGCTTACAAAAAACAATTTGGCAAAGTTGTTCCTATTCCTCACTCTGTAATCTCAGCTCTTAAGAAATGTACTGAATGACTACATTGTCAAGTAATTGGCTATTTTTACTTTCTAGAAGGAGATAGAGAGGCTGACTACGGCATTTGTGCAGCTATTTCTTCCAACTCTTTGTATTTTAAATAACTCCTGACACTCTATGAGAATTTCATAAATGTACACAGAAATTAAGACTCTTGAAGGCTATGTAAGACATTATTTATGAGTGTAGAAAATTAGGATATTACATGTGCTGCTTTTTTTTTTGGGTCCGGTTGTGGGGCCTGAACTCTGGGCCTGGGCGCTGTCCCTCAGCTCTTCAGCTCAAGGCTAGCGCTCTACCACTTGAGC